GCTTTTGTTTCTTTTGTTTGTTGCACCTATAGTTTAAGAAACTATACTGTCTCTCATAGTGTTTTGCACCCGTTTTATTGATATGCACAATGAAGAAGAAAAGTGGGCTTTTGTTTGTTGCACCTATAGTTTAAGAAACTATACTGTCTCTCATAGTGTTTTGCACCATAAATTTTCGTTTTATTGCACAGGTCTCTATATTTCTCCTATAGAGATAATTCAACGACAGATAAGCGTGATGTATTGCCTCCTACGAAAATCACATCTGGCCCTCATCCTGTTCTTTTTAAAGAAAAAAAACATGTCTTACTAAGATAAAGTGCCCCCTTTTTACGTTACTGAAACAATGCACGCACAATTAGGTGACCCGACATGCTTTCAACCCTTAAATTCAATCTTTAAAAAGTAGTAAGCCAAGTGAGCTATTGATCCTCCTGGTGTTTTGTTTAAAACCCCTGCAGTTTTGCTGCTCTCTATCCTGAGTCTGTGGATGTGTAGCAATGCAAAAACACGGTATCCGGACGCGTAGTGCGTAAAGTGGAAATATGGATCATGTAAATGATACTCACGGATTGAGGAGAAGTCCAAACAGAACTATTGACGCAATAAAAAGCGAGGGTCTCTAAGTCACCTCTAAATCAGAGCACAAAGACTTTCATCGCGCGCTCAGGTAGATCGCAGATCCGCGCAGTCCAGAAACCAAACCACATTAGGCCTACGAGTATGGAAAGCTGAGACAAGCGAACACACAGTTCACGTTTAAAAGGAGCATTTCGCCGTTTTCAACAGCCGGAGTTGTCCCGCTCCATGCAACACTCGGTTTGGGGCAGAGCGCAATGAATGCGCGTTTAAATCAAAGCCATGCGCCCTTTCGTCGTCGCGATGGCCCGACCGGTTTCCCTCTGAACGCCTGTTTGCTATACCGAGACGGGACCCGCCGCACACTCAGCTCAATGAGAGCGCCTTTTCTGAAAACTTAAGGAAATTCCACTCGTTTGGTACTGCGGAAAGCGCCCCGCGATCCCGGAGCAGAGAGACGGCTTGCGCGTCGAGTACACCGGCTGCGTGTCTGTCTCGCTGCAGAGACCCGCTGGAAAACCCGGCCTGGAGCGGAGCGACACCTGGCTTATAAACTCAACCCCATTATAGGGGCCATAAACCTCGCGGAAGTCTCTCTTCTCAACAACTGTTCAAACACTGCCAAAAGTTTGCCTTGGGACGGTGATATAAAATCTGACTTCCTCCAAAACACTGCTCTGTGTACAGAGCCATATATTGAGATACTTCTTTATATACAGAGCTGCTTAGATTAGGCTACTTACAAATTGTAATCCATTACTGATTACAAATTACATAACTGTAGTTGTATTGGATTACACATATGTGACCCTGGAGCACAAAAACAGTCTTAAATCGCTGGGGTATATTTGTAGCAATAGCCAACAATACATTGTATGGGTCAAAATTATCAATTTTTCTTTTATGCCAAAAATCATTAGGATATTAAGTAAAGATCATGTTCCATGAAGATATTTTGTAAATTTCCTACCGTAAATATATCAAAACTTAATTTTTGATTAGTAATATGCATTGCTAAGAACTTCATTTGGACAACTTTAAAGATGATTTTCTCAATATCTTGATTTTTTGCACCCTCAGATTCCAGATTTTCAAATAGTTGTATCTCGGTCAAATATTGCCCGATCCTAACAAACCATACATCAATGGAAAGCTTATTTATTCAGATGATGCATAAATCTCAATTTCTAAAAATTTACCCTTATGACTGGTTTTGTGGTCCAGGGTCACATATTAGGTAATGTATTATGACTACTTTTTGATTACTTTTAGATTACTTTTGATCTAATTCGTATAAGAAAATCTATTCCATTCTTCGTTATCAACATCATGAAGTGTATTTAACACACTCTCAGAAAAAAAGGTACAACAGCTGTCACTGGTGCGGTACCTTTTCAAAAGGTGCACTTTTGTACCTTTTAGGTATATGTACCTTTAAAGTACCAATATGGACTCTTTAGGTACAAAGGTGTGCCTTTTGAAAAGGTACCGCCCCAGTGACAACTTTTGTACCTTTTTTTCTGAGAGTGCATTACAGTATGCCAGGGTTTCCCAAACTGGGGTGTGTAATCATGTAATATGGAATCTAATAAAAATCAACTGTAATCTGATTTTTTGATAATTTGATAATTTATTAAATACTTACTTTTTGGAATCAGATTACGTAATCCAGATTACATGTGACTATATGTAATCAGTTACAACTATATATAAATAGTTTTCATATTAATATTTTTTATATATGAATATTTTCAATCAGTTTTTATTTTAACTTTAGTTAAAGTTGTATTTTTTTGTCAGTTTTGGTAGTTTTGTTTTTTTATGTGTTTATATAATTTCATTTAGTTATTTTAATACATCAAGTTAAGCTAAATTAAAATTAGAAATGTTTAACTAGTTGAAATATACAATTGTTTGATTTTTTATTTCAGTTAATGTTTATTTTTCTTCAAGTAACAAAAATGTTTTTTATGGTTTTCATTTTAGTTTTATTTAACTGTAATAACCATAGCCCATCTGTATAGTATATTTATTAGACTAAACAACAATTACAAACACATTACAATTGTGTAATCACTTTACAATTATTTTACCATTGTAACACTAACAGTAATGTTAGTGTTTGATTTGAATAAAATCATCTCTTATAAAAGTGAAATAAGTTACTTTTTATTTTAACTTATTTTCAGTACAACTAATGCAGTTACAGTTTGTGTAGTATGTTGTCACCTAAAGGCTCGAGCATTGACATCTAAATGGACTGGTTTTAATTCAGAGTGTTTATTTACATGACTAAAATACTAAAGTATTTTAAGTGTTAGATTAGGTACAAAAGCTCTTTAAATAATACTCCACTTTTTACAGTGTAATGAAGCGACATGCATGGTTCGCATGGTTTCTATATTAGTTCAATTATGGTTGATAAGCACTGTTTGGCCATTCCAGTTATACTGTCACATATTGATCCCACTGTCCCTTTGATTCAAGCAGAAAAATAAGCTGCGTGAAATTCGGGACAAATCCTTGTGTCTGATGATGAATGAGGTTTGGGGAAGAGTGCATGGGATCAGCAGGAAGTGCAGAGATGAATGAATGAATCAGGCAGACTCACTCAGTGGTAACTTAAGCCGCATGCAGTCATCTCAACACTTCACCCAACAAAAAAATGTTTGTCCAGCCATTTGTTCCCGGTGGTGTCCCCTGAGTAACAGCTCTGGGGCCCCGGCCTGGTCAGGACAAATCCTTGTGGCTGAGGAATGAGGTTTGGAGAAGAGTGGGATCCGCTGGAAGTGCAGAGATGAATGAATCGGTCTCAGTGGAAACTTGAGCCGCATGCAGTCATCTCAACACTTCACCCAACAAAAAAATGTTTGTCCAGCCATTTGTTCCCGGTGGTGTCCCCTGAGTAACAGCTCTGGGGCCCCGGCCTGCCTCAGGAGAGCCCAGGGAACAAATGACATGTGCTGCAACTATAGTCGGGTTATTGAAACATATCAGACGCTTTTGTCATTGCGATTCCTGTTCAGACAAGAATTCCTCCGAAAAAAAGCAAGAACTTAGCTGTAAAGAGAGCATGAGAAAAGTAACACACCATCTTCATTTCCTCGCCAGTATATAGATTTTCTCATTTGAACCAGAACTCAGCTAGCTACTGCGTTTACATAGACACAACAAGTTTTGCTCTGCTTCAGAAAAAAAAAGATGAATTTCCATCACAAGAACATAGGCCGGTCAGATCTCTTATATGAGGCGTCAACATTAATAATATTTTTTAAAAAAGGAAAGCAGGCACACAAGGGAAGCAATGAATTTGGGTCAGATTCACAAGGTGCAAAGCGAGTGGATTAGTGGTGTGCATGCATGTATTAATAGGCATCATTTTACATAATAAAGAATAACGGAATAAATGAAAACAGGTGTAACATTGTAATTTGAGGAAGAAGAAAACAAGCCGTGTTTAAGCAGTAGGTTGAACAAACAGAAGGAAATGCAAAGAGATGCCAACATTCATTATATTCAGTTTTCTTGTGTAATGTGTGTAATGCAAACTCTTATTTGAATGATATATAAATCTATCTATTTATTATTGAAAAAAATGGTATCCACTGTAATGTAATCTACAGTTGCACAGTTAGAACATTTGGAAAAATTAAATTTGATATACTCTGGTAATGGCATAAAATGCAGCATGTAAGCAAATGAATTAGCAACAGAATGTGAAATGCATGTGCTTTTTTCAGAGATTTATTTTTCAAACAAAATAACTAAAGATAACAAAAATATATATTTCAAAATATACAATAAACTGTAAAAAACAAAAAATAGTTTTACTAAAATATATTTCAAAATAATTTTATGTAAACATATTTTCTAACAATACACATTCCTGTGTATTTTTAAAATATATTTAAAAAATATAAATACATATTTTTAAAGGCATTATTTTGCCTTCCACATAAAATACATACACATGTCACATTTGAAGAAAAACCTTATTTGTTGTCTTGCACATGTGAACATATAAAACATTTGAAATCAGCTAGGAACATATACTTAAAAATTTTCCAAAATAAATTATATAAAATATATAAAAATTAAACATTATTAAATCATTATAAATCTAGTTTTGATCTCTAGTAGGCTCTTCCATCCACATTTGCTTTTAGCCTAAATGTAGGCTACTTTAAGATTGAAAAAGTCTTTCTTGCCCCGAAAACACATTTTGAATTATATTTTTGTATATGAAGGTTGAAACTAAATATATTTCTAAAATAAAAAAATATATATATTTCATTGAGCTTTTTTCAACATTAGGCCTATATTTAGCATATATTCAAAATATATTTTGGCCTGAATGAATGAATGAATGAAAACCCCTCCGATTGGTTTCACATTCATCTGTGCCTGCATTAACAATTAGACATTTTATGACATGGTTTTCAAATGGTAAAGCCTAAGAAAACTAACCTTAAAATAAGATTTAAAATAATACTAATAAATGTGTGCATATGTAATCAAGGTGTAAGGTAAAAATATTTAATGTTTCTTAATTGTATGTGATGGTTACAGCACTTCAAGCCAAACAAACAATAAAACAAACTTAGTTTTTCTCCCAAAAACGTATAAACCCAACATATGGTAATAAAGAAAAATATATATATATCACTTCTAGGAACTTGTCACATTCATATAAAAATTTTTTTTTTTTTTTATATAATTTTGAAAAACATCTTGTTTGTCACTAACAACCAGTCAAATAAAAGAAATTCACTGATATTACATTGATACTGATTGTATTTTGTATATCTATATATGTACGCATTTGAGTTCAGCTACAGATGGATTCCAGCAGGCAAATATCTAATGTTTTCCATTCACATGCACAGGCTTCAATGTTCTCATCAGCCTCTCCTTTGTACTCTCTCCATTCGCACATGTGTTTCCCTTTTAGACATATTGTTCTCTATGCTGAGAAAACCTCAGAAAGAACTGAGAACTTTTCAGAAAGTGTCACACCGCTAATAAGAGAGCGCTGGAGAAGAACTGCAGCAAAATATATCTGTGGTAAATGAGGCATTGGTTTGATGGGGTAAAAAAAAGATGCACTGTTGTGCGGATGACTGTCCATCAAGACTTGATTTTTTTAATGAAACACATTTCGGTGCCTTTTAATGGGAGACAAAGCACATGGCATGCACTCCACCCACAAGCTCGCTTTCATAACCCACTTCTGGAATCACATTCTTTGCCGCTGAAGTCGACTCTATCCTTCACCCGCTGCTCATATGTCTACGAGAGACTGAAAACTGTGATGCTGCACTCAACACTAATTAAACCAGACAGTGATTCATCTTTTCTGAATCAGTAAAATATTAGTGTCCACGACACCGCGAGCCCAGGGACTTTAGCGTACATGTAAGCTCTTAAAAGCATACACTGTAAAAAATGACCGTGAATTTAACGGTAAAAAACTGTAAAAATGCTACAGTAAAAACCTGTTAAATGGTTAACGGTAGGTTCCCCTACTATATACGGTGTTGGACATTACATGTAATTTTACGGTAGTATATCGTTTTTGGAAGTGAAAAAGACAGTATAATTTACAGTGAATAACCGTAAATTGACGTTCCCAGAATTCCCTGCGTTACATTTTAAATTTGATGTTTTTT